CAACTGCAGCTTGAACGCAAGAGCAGGGCCCAGCTGTGTAAATACAGTGAAGTAATGTTCTAATCTGCCCTGGAAAAATGTTTAAATTTAGCATCCCGATCTGTCTTGCCCCCTCAGCCCTTTCTGGAGGCAGCATTACCTGGGATGGAGCAGAGCAGGAGTGCTGCTCTAAGGGGTCCATGCCCTGTCCCTGGGAGCTGATCTGCCTGCAAGGCACCACGTCTCAGGGGAAGAGAGTATCTTGGTGGGGTTGAGCACACAGAGTAAAACCAGCGGTGGAGGAAGGTGGGCACCTGCTTTTCCAAGGGAAGGGAGGAGAGGGCTCTGCAGCAGTGCCTCTGGCCTTGTAGCAGAAGGTGCTGTGTGTGGCTTTGGTCTTTAGAGGTCTGGCTTTGGGTGTCTCATTCCCCTGTGTGGACATCGTGCCTGCTTGTCTGATGGAGGTACCTCTTCCCTTTGCTTTCCTCCCCCAAGGCAGCACGTAGCTGCTCTGCACCCCTCAAAGACTGAGAGCCGTTCTCTGGTCAAGGTTGTCCTCCACGCATGAGACCGCAAACGCTTCCCTGCCGGGTCTGAGTAACGCGTGGCTGTTCTCTGCCCCTCCGCAGGCTCCTCACTGCGAGCACGCCTTCTGCAATGCCTGCATCACCCAGTGGTTCTCCCAGCAGCAGACGTGCCCCGTGGACCGCAGCGTCGTGACGGTTGCCCACCTCCGCCCCGTCCCACGGATCATGCGTAATATGCTCTCGAAGCTGCAGATCACTTGTGACAACGCTGTTTTCGGCTGTACAGCAGTTGTGCGACTTGACAACCTGATGTCTCACCTCAATGACTGCGAGCACAATCCAAAGCGCCCTGTGACTTGCGAGCAGGGATGCGGGTGAGGATGACCTTGGGGGGCTCTGCCGCAGAGGGTGGGCAGAACAGGGGCCACAGGCTTGGGGAAGGAACCCGGGGTTTGGTGCCTGGCACCCTTTTGCCCCTGGAGCGCAGAGCTCCAGGGATAGCAGGGCTTTGAAGGCCATGGTGCTGCAGGAAGGGTTGGGAAGGATTTTTAGTCAAACCTATTTCTTTTTAAACTTGGTTCAAAGCCCCTGGCTCTTCAGCTCCTTGCTGGGGCTTAGGTATCGGTTGGCTGCTGGAAACGGATGGGGCTTAGGTATCGGTTGGGTGCTGGAAACGGGGTACTGGAGCCTTTGTGAATCCACCCAGAGCCATTCCAGGCCCCTGGGACAAGTTGCAGCGTGAGCTCTGCTCCCTCCTACATCTCACCCAAAGCTGGGAGCAGTGGGTGCTGGTCTGGCCTTGGCGCCTGTGCTCATGGTGCCGATACCCTTCCCACTCACATGTTGTAGGCATCCAGCCAGGTGGTGACTGACTGTTGGCTTGGAGACTATCAGATCTCCTCGGATGAAGTCAGAGGCTGGATCAGGCCCATGGGCTGCCTAGTGTGGGTCCTCGTTCTGAGCCCTGATCACTTTGGAGGAGGAAAATCCCCATCGCCTGCCGACCTGGTGGTGTTTTGTGCCCGTAGCTCTTCCCCAGACCATTTGGCTTGGCCCTGAGACACGGCAGGGAACAGGCCTTCCTACACCTATGGGAGGTTACGGCGCCTGGCTTCCCGGGCCTCTCGGCAAGTCCTCCAAGGCTGGATTTGTTCTGGAGAGTGTTCACGTGCTTATGCCAAGTGCTCTGGTGTGTAACTTTCCCTAATGCGGGGCCTCCACCTTTTTTTATAATGCTCCCCAGCTTGGAAATGCCCAAAGATGAGCTGCCAAACCACAACTGCATCAAGCATTTAAGATCCGTGGTGCAACAGCAGCAGACGAGAATCGCCGAGCTGGAGAAGACCTCGGCAGAGCACAAGCATCAGCTGGCCGAGCAGGTAGGTCCGTGGGCACGAGGGGCTGTCCCGCAGCAGGGTCTCTCCTGGGAAGGGTCAGTCTCACCTGCTTGGACACCAAACACCGAAAAAGCTTTGCGGCTGAGGGAAGCGGCTGCAGGGCGGCCCGAGCTGAGCGCAGCTGGGGCTCTGCTGCTGTTCTGTGCCTCTGTCCTCCAACCGCTGGGGCTGTGGCTGAGCCGAGGGGCCGGGACGTGTTGCTCCCTGCTACTGCGCTGGGGTCTGGGCTCGTGACGTGTAGCCGCGGCGCTGACTCCTTTTTGCAAACCCGGCTGTGTCCTGCCTGTTGTAGAAAAGGGACATTCAGTTGCTGAAGGCCTACATGCGCGCCATCCGCAGCGTCAACCCCAACCTGCAGAACCTGGAGGAAACGATCGAATACAATGAAATCCTGGAGTAAGTGCTGGTTCTCGTGCTGATCGGGGAGGAGCTGGGGAGCCCTGCGTCGGGGTACAAGTGGAGCTGGGAATCTGCCAGCTTCGGTGACGGGTTTGAGAGGGGGTGAAGCGCTTTCTGAAGCAAAGGCACAGTTTGTGAAGAAAATGCTTCACAAAAGCAAGGGGGCTTTTTGTTTGTGCTGGGGAGCGGCACGTGAGCTGCTTGCACAATGGGTTCGGAGCGTTTTTATTCTTCCACCTGCATCCTGCCCATGAGCAGGAAGCTGCTGGATTCCTTCGTCCTTGTGAGAAAGGCCGGAGGAAGCAGCTTCTCATCTCATCCTTTCTTCCCCTCCCTCTGGGGAGGGAGTAGCAGAGCTGAATGCTGCAGCTGGGTCCTGTTCGGGGGTGAAAACAGGGGAGGGGTAGGTGGGGAAACGGAGGCATTCCCATCCAGCCTCGCTCCCCAGCGCAGAGCAGGCGAGGAGCAGAGCAGCTTGCTGGTTTTGGTGGGAGCCACCAAAAATGCCCAGCACTGACTGCTTTGTCCCCGCGTCTGTCACCAGGTGGGTGAACTCCCTGCAGCCGGCCCGGGTGACGCGGTGGGGCGGAATGATCTCCACGCCAGATGCGGTGCTGCAGGCCGTCATCAAGCGCTCAGCGGCTGCCCCACGTCCATCATCAACGAGCTGATCGAGAACGCCCACGAGCGGAACTGGCCGCAGGGCCTGGCCACGCTGGAGACCCGCCAGATGAACCGGCGGTACTACGAGAACTATGTGGCCAAGCGCATCCCCGGCAAGCAGGCTGTGGTGGTGATGGCCTGCGAAAATCAGCACATGGGCGAGGACATGGTGCTAGAGCCAGGACTGGTGATGATATTTGCACACGGAGTGGAGGAAATCTAAGGACTTTCAAAGAGAAACACTTCGTGCTGACGAGGGAGAGGAGGGGGAAGGTGCAGAGGAGTCTGGGGGGTCGCCGGTCAAAACTGCTGGTGTTCCCTAGTCACCGACATG